AAATGATTAAACTCAATTATCTCAAAATAAAATTTATGTAAAAAAGGGCTGTTTTAATAGATAACACCCCATATTGTAAATGTATGCAAGGAATATTTTTTGAGTTATTTTGATTTGAAATTTTTGAGTTTTTGAATCGTGCAATCTGATTGGCCTGGTCTGTCACTGCCGGCGATAAATAGATCGACAAAATTAAATAATATTATTACTGTATTGAAACACGCTGTTTTTTTAAAAAAAAAATATTTCAGGAAAGGTAGAATTCAACATAGCATCTGAAGTTTGACTTTTTTACCTATTTTTTTTAAGCAACTTTAGAAATAAAAGCATGTCTCGAGAAAACGCGCCCTGCAAAAGCATCTTATAACGATTTTTTGCATAAAAACAAAGCGTCATTGGCCAAACAACCAAATTATATTAATTGCACGAGAGTTGAGATATGATGAAAAATTTATCAAAAAGGTCATGTATAATATAAAAAAGTGCGGGTGATGTTCTCCTGCAAGGGACGCGGGAACTCCAGCGGGTGGATTCCTCCTGTAAGAATGCTGTGTGTTCATGGAGCATGGGGCACGTTCTTTAACGTTAATACATCCCCTCTCGTGTCTCAAGTGTAGGGTGATTTGAAAGAGCTTCGGCGAGGTTCTCGTGTTGTAACACGAAGTATGGGTGGCTTAAGTGCCGTTTGGTTCCCCACTTTCCATCACTCTACACTATAATTACTTTATGAATATATCTCTTACCATATTTATTTTATTGCAGTTTAAAGATGAAAAAATAGATAAAGACCTCTGGCAGAAGATTGGGAATACGCAAGGTTCAATTCTGATTAAGAATAAACGGGTAAGAAAACTATATACTATTTTTATTTGTGGATAATTTAACTGACAACATATTTGTTTTGCATAATAGATTGGAATTAAGCAAAAGGTCGATTTACTCTCGGTTGATATTTTTGATAAGTCTACAACTCATCAAGGAAACCAAATTATGAGCCTTTATAACAATGTTAGCCAAAGAGATTTTAACGATGATGGGGATACTTATGTTTCTGATGATGAGGATGAAAATATTCAAAATAACTCAGAGGAGACTGTTACTAGCGTTTTAAGTTTATCTAATGAGGTAATTTATAGTATACATCATATTATTAATATTAAAGTTAGATCTTGAATGGATAGGAAATATTATTTTATAAGGACAAGCCAAGTATACTAGTAAACCTGAAACATCGTTTGGCTACTACATACAAGGTGGTTTCTCTGTTTGA